ATATATGTGTACCCCTTAGCAACCAGCCTAGCTTTATAGCGTTCCACCTCACCAGTTGGTTTATATTTTACTTTATAGACCCATTTCGAGCCAATGACTCGTTTACCTGGAGGGAGCTCCTCCAACGTCCATGTGCCATTATCTTCTAGTGCTTTAACTTCCTTTTCCATAGCTGCTATCCATTTTGGATCTTTGGCTGCTTGTTTGAAGTGTTTCGGTTCAATGTGTGAACTGATAGAAGACAAGAAGGCTTTATGGCTGTCCGAAAATCGCTCATAGGAAATGTAATTCGCTAATGAGTGCTCAGTGGATGGGTGTTGGTCAGGGTGAGGAAGATCATGGAGTAGTGAGGGAGGTAAATTAACCTCAAAGCTATCATACTTTTTCGGTAGGGCCCTGGGTCGAGAATGTTTGGGTGACTGCACTTCGCTTTGTTGGCTTTCGTTAGGCTCGAGATTCTCGATTTCTGTAGGAGGAGTATCTGATTCAAGGTGGTCGATATTTTCAACTTCGGTTGGAGGTGGTACTGGTCGCAGCTGTGTTATTAGAGCACTAGACTGTACGTCATCATATGAGGCAATAGCGAGCTCAAAAGGACCTGTTTTTCTTCAACTTCAGCATATATCTTCAAGTAATTTTGCGTCCCTAGAGAAAATAATCTTTTTAGACTCCAATTCATAAACACGGTATCCTTTTTGCCCATGAGGATAGCCCAAGGAAATACCAGGTCTCCCCCTCACTTCAAACTTGTCTCCTCTTGTCTCAGTGTTTCGAGTGTACACTAAGCATCTAAAGGTTTTCATGTAGTCGTGGTCTGGCTTATGTTGGTGTAAGATTTCAAAAGGTGTTTTATGATCGATAAATTTGGATGGTAGTTGATTTATAATGTAAGCTGCTGTGAGCACACATTCCCCCCAAAACTTGATTGGTAGTTTTGCTTCAAACCGTAAGCATCGAGCTACCTCAAGGAGGTGTCGGTGTTTTCGTTCAACAACACCGTTCTGCTGGGGTGTTTTGATGCAAGATGTTTCAAGGATAATTCCTTGGGAAGCACAGAAGTCACGCATGTCATTGGAAACAAATTCCCCACCATATTTACTTCTGATTTTCTTGACCTTCTTATCAAATTGTGTTTCTACCATATGACAAAATTCTACAAGACATTTACTTTCTTCATGCTTGTGTTTGAGTAGAAAAACCCAGAACGACCTACTGTGATCATCTACGATAGTAAGAAAGTAGCGTGCCCCAGTAAAAGAAGGCTTTCGATATCCACCCCAAATATCACAGTGCACTAACTCAAAACAATTTAAGGTTTTACTAGATGAACTTGGAAATGGCAAATGTGTGAATTTTGCCTTAATACATGAATCACAGTTTTTATTGTTCAAACTAAAACTAGAATTTTGCAAAAAATTAACTCTATGCAATTTTGATTCTGATGCGTGTCCAAGCCTCTTGTGCCAAATTGCAGTGCATGTTTTGTGCAGTTGACATTGCCTTTATTTTCTTTGCTTCAGAATCCATACGATAGAGACCACCATGACGTTTACCCACACTAATCAAGCCTTTCGTGTCCAGGTCCTGGGCAACACAAAACCCACGAAGAATGTCACAGCACAATTTAGATCGTCAGTTAAATTCCCTACTGACAATAGATTGCAATTAAAATTCGGTACATATAAAACTTTTCTCAAGTTTAATCCATTTGGTAGCTTACAGTTCCCTTTCCCTTCAACCGGTACTAGAGCACCATTAGGGATGGTAACCGGTGCCTCATAATCAGAAGTGACAGTGTTTTCAAGTAAATGATGGTCACCGATCATATGTTCCGATGCCCCTGTATCAACAATACAAGAATTATCTGTGAGTGACTTACCAGCCATGTGAGCACTTGTATTTTCAAGACCATCGATCTTTCTGTCAATCGAGAGGTGTTTGACCACCCATTGGTATTGTTCCTTCGTTAGCCCAGCTACTGGACTTGTTTCGACAGCAACCCAAGAGGCTTTTGGGTTTTCTTTCTCCTTCTTTCCCTTACCTGCCCACCAGTCTGGATATCCTATCACCTTGAAACACCCATTTTTATTGTGATCGTTCTTCCCACACACAATGCAATGCTTTAGGTCTTGATTTCCACGTTTAACTTCTTTGGACGGTGGTTTGTTTCGTTGATTATTTGGGTCAAACGAGCTTTCTCTTTTGTTTAGGCTTAGGCTTTGAAAGGCCGCAACTTCTTGTGTCACCCTTCTTGTGGCTGAGATCGCTCATTGTTGTTCATCCTCTGCAACGAGATGGTACGCTTCTCCCAGTGTTGGTGTAGGTTTTGTGGTAAGAATTTGTGTTCTTACCGTCAAGAAGATGTCATCCAACCCTAAGAGAAATTCATATAATCTCTCTTTCTCCTTTGACTCGGTTAACTTTTTACCAACATCACATGTACAACGACCACATGTACATCGAGGCAAAGGACACACCGATTGGATCTCATCCCACACACACCTTTCATTTTCGTGTAATAGGCTGAAAAAGACGTACCTTCTTGGTGCGTGATGGTCAAGGTTCTCTTGAGTTCATATGCATGGGGTTCACTCTCCTTTTCAAATCTTTCTTTGAGGTCTTTCCATATCTCGGCTGAGGTATTAGCGTATTTCACACTGGATCTGATGGTTTTCTCCATGGCTGTGGTGATCCATCCCTTGATCATGGCATCACACCACATCCATATCATGTAGTTGTCTGCTTGTTCGTCTGGTTTTTCAATGGTTCCGTTTACGAAGACCATCTTGTTCTTTGCAAACAGAGAATTAGTCATCTCTTGAGACCAATCGTTGTAATTGCTATCAGTGAGAACATCATTTACTTGCATTTGTCGTGGATTATCCGACGCACGCAAATAGTAGGGTGAGTTTGAATCGATATTGGTTGACCTGTCTTTTTCATCGCCTTTCTTGCTGCCGGATGATTCTTCTGTAGTGGCACCCATGATGGGTTTTTCTTTGGTTGGATCGATTCGCTCTGATACCATAAAGAAACAGATTGATCGACAGTTAATTCATTCATGTGACCTCAATGGGTTTAAATACAAAGATTCAGATCCTAGTTTAAAGGAAAGATAAGATCACACAATAGCATAAAACAAGATAACTAGATAAGGAGATAATGATAGGAATCAAATAACATATTCGAATCCTTTTACGATAAAGGTGAAAAATAACAAAAGAGAAAATATGCATGAATATTAACTAAAATGAGATGGTTTTAACTAAAAAAACTATGAAAAGAAGTAATAAAATGAAACTATCAATCATGTGTTTGTACATTGTCATATATGACTAATTACATAATATTACATTGTTATATATGACTAATGACATATTATACTGTATAATCGTATATGATTATACATTGTAATATTTATTAATCATATTTCATATTGTATAATCATGTATCATTAGTTATTTGTATTTATACATTGTCATATATGTTTAATCATGTATTAGACTGCATAATCACATATGATTATGCAGTGTAACATATGATTAACACATATCGTTTATGATTATGCAGTGTAACATATGATTAACACATATCGTTTATGATTATGCAGTGTAACATATGATTAACACATACTGAGTAAAAAATTAGAATGGACTTTCTAAATTATAATGTAATATGTAATATTAAAACAAATTATTTTCACCTTGAACACCGATATATTTTGAAGGTCTCGATGTTGATTTTGATAAGTTGAAGTAATTAAATCAATTTGTTCGTCATTTCGAAATGAATTGATTTCAGCTACGATAGTATCACTTGCCATCGACTCGTCAATTTCTTTTGAATATGACATCATGTATGAAAACTGATTCGGTTTAATATTCAAATGCTCTGACGAACTCTTGAATTACGATTATGAATTCGATGTGTTTGTTTCTTGAAAATGAAAAGGAATGTGAATAAAAAGCACATGAAGCACTTCAAGCAACACCGGGTCCGACCACCCGAAAACCCACCTAAATCATTCTAGTTTTATATTTGATGGTTTAGACATTTTTGAAACATTAATGTTAACTACGGTTTGGACCGTCCGCGCGATGCTGCGGAAGCCTGATATATTGAAAAACGCAGCACGAGATGGATAATGTTTGTGGAGAAATTTTGAGACAGTTTTCAACCATAGCCCAAAAAAATTATGTAATGAAACAAAATGTAACTTTAATGCATAGAGTAATTCATTTGTATTTGATATATAGATATAATTTACAAATATTAATAGTGTTGTAAAAATTTATAATGTTTAAATAAAAGGTAATATTAATAAAATTGAAAAGTATAAAGACTAAAACCGTAACTTCAAAATATAATGAGGGACCAAATCGCGACTTATAAAATACAAATAATTTAACTTTAAAATAATAAAGGATGAAATTGTTGGATAATTTTTTTTTGAGGAGAGAAAATAAAAATAAGAATTTACTATGGCCAAAATACTAAATCTCTATTTTCAAAAGACTTTTATCTTTAATTTTGTTTTAAATTCATCAAAATATGTAACTTAATTTGATTTTAGACATAACTCTAAACTATACATAGTACAAGGAAATGAATAATAAAAAAGCTCTCACATTACTATTTGACAATATATATATATATATATATATATATATATATATATATATATATATATATATATATATATATATATATATATATATAATTATGTTTGTGTATTAGACAATTATTTAAGTCTTATGTGTATTAGGTTTTGTGGAATATTAAGAAAAAAATTTGGATTTTGAATGATTTTCCCTATTTGATGTTAAATTTGCAATTTTTACCCATGTGTTGGATGGCTACCAGGTAGGGGTAGATTTAGCCTGGTCCCGATGTTTGCATCGGCAAGAATTGTTTTTTGTGTCCGCAGTGGAAAGAATTTCGATTTTTTTTTTTTTTTTTTTTTTAATTTTAATTTTTACCTATTTTTCATATATCAACAACTATTCTTGCGTTCCAGACAAAATTTTTGTAGAAAGTCCGATAGAAATCCATGAGAACTCTATTACAAACATTTCCATGGGAATGGAATCACAAAATGTTTGTGGGCATTCAGCTACAAAAAAATCAAGGAAGTTATCCATGGCAATTCCATGGGTGGTATGTTACAAGTTCCGTGGGAAATAATTACCCAACCGTTTGCTCCCAAGTGTGTTTCATGGTAATTCTGCGGCTGTTTACCTTTTACCCACAAAATACACATGGATTTTGACCATGGAAAAATTCCCAGTCTTCTTGGATTAAACCCTAAAACGTTAAATTTTTTAAAACGACAAACGCTAAAACAGTAAAAAATAATAATAAAAATTACTGAAAACCACACAAGTGGCAGATAACCATAAGCATGAAACAAGTTTTAGTGAAGGCCTCTTTATACCTTGTGGAACCCTCCTCTTTTTTCCGGGCTTGGGACCGGCTGGGTCTATGATGCCAAACCCAGGCAGAGTTAAAACTTGAAAATATCGAAACAAAACAAACCATGAATCAACGCATATTAGCAGCACACGTTGAATTAAAAGAAGTCTGCAACTATAACACAAGGCCAGCAATATATACATGATAGATGAAATTTCCCTTTAGAGTACATCCCCCAAGCCTATAATACTATATTTCATGAACTTCAAGCAAAGATTATTATAGCCAATGATTGGTAGTGTAACATCCCCTCTCAATGTAGGCAAACAGTCCAGATGATTCAAATGTGGATGATAAGCATGCATCAAATCAGGAAGGAAGTATGTGTGATCATTGATACTCATTAAAGGGAAGGTGAGATCATAAGAATCAATGAAAACCCAGCAAAAGGACCATCAAGATCATAGTGATTCACACCAAAACATAAAATTCCCTTATTGCTCAAACTTAAAACCGTAGACATACTATTGAACCCAATAAAATAAAAAGAAAGATTCAGATTTGATCTTTGCATTTTTAAATACCAAAAGCAAGCCCCTAGAAAGTATTCATAGAACAGCCAAGCCAGGGAAGGACACCAACCGAAATCCACATTTTCATTTTCACAAATTAAAAAGCTACAAATATGATAGCAGAAATGAGCAAACCAGGAAGCACAGTAGTCTGATTCTCACGTACAAGCTTTCTTAGACATATCAGCAAGAGTAGAAGACAAACTAGATCTCATCATGAGGGAAGAATGGAATACAAGTAATGTCAAAAAAGAAAAACATCACAAGAATTACAAAAAGAAAGATTTATGATCATTACAGGAACGTAGATCGATCCACAATGTATCATTAAGGTTTCAAAACTAAATCAGACATTAAGGTGATTATGCCGAGAAAAAAAAACCCATTGATCCAATTAATAGTACGCCTCTTATCTTTTACCACAAACAAATATGCAATCTGATAGGAGGCTTGTATTTTATGATTCCATGAGAAAGCCCCTAACAAGGAAAGGAATGGATGACAACCAATTAACCAGTCCAATCCACAAGTTTCCTTAGACCTATCAGCACAAAAAAAATAAATAAATAAATAAATAAATAAAAGAGTCACGAAGAACAGTAATGTTTAAAATGAAAGTGATCATAAAAATCGAAGAAAAACCAGAAAGGTCATCAAGATACCTGGATTAGAGTATTTGGAACCCAACAACCCTGCATAGACAAAACTACAATCCTTCTTTAATTTTTTGGAATATAATATCGGAAATCAGGAAGAAAAGAGATTTTAGGACACGAAAAAAATTACTAATCATCTGTGCTGGTGTGTCAACCATAAGTTTTTCATTCTGTAAAACCTGCATGTAGAGATACAAACACTTTGAACTCCCTTTATCACAATGTATCATGCAAAACTGGTACGATGACTTACTTTTTTACCATTAAAAAAAAGCTCAGGAAAAGGATTCATGGAAAAACCACAAATGGCGACAAATGCCCAATCCAAGTACGAGCACTCTAAGACCTATCATCAAGAGAACAAATCAAACTTCTCATCATCCCATAACTAAGAAATACAAGTATGTTGAAAATCAAAATGATCATAAGATGTCAAATAAAATCCAGAAAAATGGTAATGAAGATGCCTGGACCAGAGAAACTATGAGCAAAGAATGAAAAGCTTTAATTTAGATGATACTAATCTTAACTAATTCAAGGGTCCAGGACCGGGCCAACACGATTGGAGGCTCGGGGCAAAATAAAAAATGGGGCCCTTTCAAAAAATTTATGTATTCGTATATTACACTATTTCAAAAAATTTATGTATTCGTATATTAGAAGTATTAAAATACTAAAGTCTCATCAACTTTGTTTCTTCATTAACTTGTTCAGTTACGTTCCTGTACATAAGTTGTTGACCTCCAACTGAAGTAGATTTATCATCGACAAAAAGTTGTTAGGTGAATTGCTTAAATCCAGAATACTTGTTGTTAATAACCTAGAAGTAGTTGAAAAAATTATACAACATAAAATTTTATACATATCAAAAACAAAAAAAAAAAAAAAAAAAAAGAGTACCATTCATAAATCAAAAATAAGAATATTAACATTACAAATCGAAATTACGCAATAAAGTTCAAGAATTGTCTCTAACTCAAAAAATTAACATTTGATTATGTCTCTAACTTGAACAACCTCATAAAAATCGAATTTCAAAAAAGAATAAAAAATTTCAAGAGCGATAGAACATACAGAGATTCACAGTCGTATTATCATAAATCAATTTCACCTCTAACAGTCGTATCTGAAAACTGAACGTTCAAATTTCTAGAAATTGAGAAAGAAATCCAATTGAGGCAATGACTGGAACTCTCAATTCAAATCTCTAGGCCAGATTCCTAAAATAAATCAAATAACCGGATTACCTTCCCATTGTGCTATATTAGAAAAAGGAAATCGACAACAAGAAGGGAAACAATAGAGTTTCCCGTTTTCTGAAATCGTGAGAAGAACAAGACACAATCAGTCTCTTAATTCTAAAATAACATTCGATTCACTAATGGTTGTTGTGGACGAATTCGGAAAATCAGAAAAGAATGAAAGAAATAGATTAACTTGAAATCTTGAATAAGAAATAGAAGAATGATCGTTAACTCTTGCTTTTGGAGAAGACGTCGTTTGGATTTTCCATGGCAATGTTTGGATTTTCTATAGAAATCTGACCGTTGAAGAGTTACGACGCCTTGGAATTAGGACGCATGCCTGGTAAGTCTCATTCTCTCCCACGCTCCATCTTTTGGATTAGTTCCTGTTCAGAGTATTGGGGTTTGAAGTAGCCCAATTGGCTAAAAATGTAATGAGCTGGTAATATATAACAAAAATAACAAGTTAAAACTTAGGGCCCTGTAGCATTTGGGGGCCCGGGGCGGTCGCCCAGCTTGCCCATGCCCACGGACCGGCCCTGCAAGGGTCCATTATGTTTTTTGCTTCCCTCAAAATCCATATGGAGAAACAGGTACACCACGTATCATTAAGCTTTCCATGCAAAATCAGACAACACAAGGCAATTATCGTACGGAAGAACTCATTAATCGATAAAACAAAACCATCACATGAATCAGATATCATGAATTCCATGAATGGCAAACCAGGAAGAACACCACCCGATTCATGTGTGAGTTCCCTTAAACCTGTCTGCAAGAGAACAAGACCCATTATGGAAATCTGGAAATCCAGTAATGCTTAAAATGATGATAAAGTCATAAAGATCAAAGAAAAACCAGCAAAATGGATGTGAAGACCTTGGTATTTTGCACCCAACAAACCTACATAGACAAATCTACAAACCACTTATTTCTGGAAGATAAAATCAAAGAAAGACACCATAGGAACCAGGAAAAAAAGATGTTTTAAGCCATGACATAATACTAATTAATTAATTCAACTGCACGTGTCAAAAGGAACCCCAAATACGTATAATCATCAAGCCTTTCCAACTAAAGCGGACAATTAATTAATAAGGGGATTATTCAACAAAAAATCCCAGTGGTGTTTTAATCAAATGAACTCCTTTTGTCATGTGAAACTGGTATGGTGTTTTTATTTTATAATTAAAACAAAAAAAGAGCACAAATAAGAGCCATAAATGGAAACAAACCAGGAAAGTCATATCCAATCAAGGAACAAGCTATTTATAGGCCTATCAGAAAAAGAGTCATAGTCATTAGGGGAATTAAGAACAAAGAATTTAGGGTATGATAAAGATGACAACAACCCAGTAAAGGAAGCCTTGGTACTCAACAAACCTACATAGGCGGAAGGAAATACTCTACTTTTAGAAAGGATGATATAAGAACTAAGAACAAAGGATTAAGGTTTAAAGGAGACAATATGGTACTAATCCAGCTGCAAGGATCGACTATTTTTGGTTGTTCTTTCTGCAAAACCTACATACAGGAACATGTACATCACATATCATCGACCCTTTAAACTAGATCTGACATTGTGACAATTACTCTATGGAAAAACCATCAAATTAATCAAATAAAAATCCTTTCACCTTTTATGATCTCTATTTAGGAAGCTTACAGAAAGGATTCACAATGGAAACACACTGAAGGTCCAATCCACATACGGAGCTTCTTTAGAACTATCATCAAGAGAACAAGACAAAACGTTCATCATGACAGAACCAAAAGATACCATTGACATTAAAAAACAAAATGCAAAATAAAAATTAAAGAAAAACCAGAATTTTGATTCTCAAGATGGATGGACCATGGTATTTGGCACCCAACAAACCTACATAGAGACAACACAATCCTATTATTTCCAGAACCTAGCAAAGGATTTAAATTGAGAGCCTACATAGACAAAACTACAACCCACTTCTGGAACATGAAATCAAAGTTGGTTATCATACAAACAAAGAAAAAAAAAAAAAAAAAAAAAAAAAAAAAATTTAAGACATGAAAAGATGCTAACACTCTGCAAGTGTCAACCATGTGTTGTTCTTTCAGAAAAAAGTGCCATGAAGAAATCTGTACAATTATCAAGTCATCCAAACTAGTTTATTGAAGAAATTAAAAAAAAAAAACTAAAAACTCTATGGGCTCAATGAATCTCCTTCTATCAAAAGGTATCATGTGAAAGTGAAATCGGTAAGAGGCTTCTACTTACCTTTTACCACAAAAAGAAAGCTTACTGAAACAATTCATGGAAAATCCAGAAATGGTAACAAACCAGGAAGGACAAAGATCAATCCATGCACGAGCTTTCTTAGACCTTTCACCAATAGAACAAGACAAAAAGTTCTCATCATGACAGGACTACAGAATTACCAGTAATGTTAAAAACAAATGATCTATGCTGTTGAGAAAAACCAACAAAATGGTCATCGATGCCTGAACCATGGTAGTTTGTATCCATCAAACCTACATAGACAGAACACAGTCTTATTATTACTAGAAACCTAAAGATCGAGGATGTTGATCATTATAGGAACTATATATGAGCAAGGATGAAGACAGCATGATAGTAATCGAATTGGGAAGTGTCACCATTTCTCATCTAGTTTGGAAGGTTATATTGACACCATATGTCATCTGAAAAGGCATTAGTTCAATAAATAGAACACCATTAATATTTTATCACATGTTATATCATGTGGACCTGATATGATGCATGTATTTTTACTTCCAATCAGCAAGCCCCCAGAAAGAAAAGTCGATGCTTGTAGTGCTTTCCTTAGATCTATCAGCAGACAACAAAATACAGCTCATCATGAGCGTAAGCTAAAAAGCCAGTGATGTAAAAATGAAAAGAGATTATAAGAATCAAAGAAAAACCAGCGAAATGGCCATCGATCTGATCCTACCACCCAACAAATCTACATAAAAAAAAGACACTACTCTTACTTCTAGAAAGGATGATGTCCATTCTAAGAACCAAGAGCAAAAGATTTTGTTTTAATGGAGAGAGTATGATACTAATTGAACTGCAGAGTCGAAAATGGCTGTTCTTCCTGCAAAACCTATTTACATGAACATACACAGCACGTATTAACTCTTTTTAAACTTGATCACACAGTTAAGCCATTATTCTACAAAAGACCATGAATTTATTCAATGAAAATCCTTTTACCTAACCTTTGATCACAACAAGGACTCATAAAAAGCCATGGAATTTGGCACCCAACAATCCTACATAGACATAACACAATCTTAATATTTCTGGAGCCTACATAAGATATTATCAGTCACTGTAAGAACTATGAGCAAAGGATGAGAAGTTTTTAGGAGACCACATGAGACTCCTCAGAATGCAAGGCTCAACCATGTGTTGTTCTTTCTGCAAAATACACCATGCACCATAAGCTTTCCAAACTTAATCAGATTCGTTAATCTAAAAGGTAAAACTCTTTTTATCTGACTTAATCACAAAGTATGAGAATCTAGTACAACGATTTTAATTTTTTTAAACCAAAAACAAGACCTCAATGAGGATTCACATAACAGCCATTGATAGCAACAAACCAGGAAGCACATTAATGCTCCAATCCCGTTAGAGTTTCCTTAGACCTATCAGCAAGATAGCAAGACAAAATTCTTGTCATGATGGAAAGATGAAAAGCTAGTAAGGTTTAGAATGAAAATCATTATAAAAATCAAAGAAAAATTAAACCAGCAGCCAAGAAGATGAATGGACATTGTATTTGGCACCCAACGGATCTACATAAACAAAACTACAATTATCTTATTTCTGGAACATAATATCGGACACCGTAATTTTAGGTAGTAAGAAAAAACAAAGATTATAGAACAGAAGGAGACTACTAAAATCCACTGCAAATGTCAAGCATCTGTTGTTCTTTCAGCAAAGCTTGCATGTAGAAATGTGCACAAATAATCAAGCCTTCCGAACTAGACTAGACAATGACAAGAATATACAACTAAAAACCCATTAGTTTAACAGATGAGAATTCTTGTTAATTTTTACCATAAAAAGCAGGCTCACAGAAAAGATTCACATGGACAAAAGCTCCAATCCACTTACAAGCTTTTTTAGACCTATCAGCAAGAGTACAACACAAATAGTGTTGGAACACAAAATGATTGATCATAAAAAGTTAAGAATTACTGGAACCCCAACAAAATGCCCATCAAGAAATTCAGCAACCAGCATACCTACATATATAGAAAAAACACAAGCTCACTATTACTGAACCTATATAGGAACTCCCAGCAATCTATGAAATGCTTTAATTAGGAGATGCCATGACACTAATTGCACTGCAAAATAAGGTCAACAATCTACTATTCTTTCAGCAAGAACTGCAGCTAATTAGAAACAAAACAGGTGCACCACGTGTCATGAAGCTGTCAAAGATTATCTTTTACCTCAAAAAATCAAGCAACACTTGTATTTTTTTAAATTCCATACGCAAACCACACACAAGTTTCCTTAGACCTATCACAATAACATGACAAAACTTCTTGTCATGATGGAAAGACTGAAAACTAGCAACATTTAAATAGAAAATGAGCATTCAAATAGAAGAAAAACGAGAGAGATAAATCAAGATGCCTGGATTATAGAGTATTTGGAATCCCAACAACCCTACATACACAAAACTATAATCCAGTTGCTTTTGAAATATAAAATCAAAGCATAGGAAGAAAAAAAAAAAAGGGAAGATTTTGGGATAAAAAAAAAAATACTAATCATCTGGCAACATCTGGCAGCTGTTGACCATTTGTTGCTCTTTCCACCAATCCTGGATGTAGAGATCCGATACAATCATCAAGCATTCCCAAACTAGTCCAGACAAAAGAATCTCATCATGAAAGGCAAGATAGAAAACTGGTATCACTAGAAAATGAGGAAGATAATAGAAATCATAGATAAACCAATAAACTGGTTATCAAGATGCCA